CATGCCACCTGCCCAGCCATACAGGGATAACTCCCCCCGTTACACGGGTACCAGGAGGCAAAATACTGCAGCAACTCGGGACACTCATGCAGGGAGGGAGAACACAGGGATAGAGGAGCCTGCCGGGACGGGGCAGCAGGGAGGTTTGGTAGCCCCGAGAGGAGAAGGTGCCTGGCCCTCTTTCTCTGCAGTTGTGCTTTTGCAAAGTTCTCCTCCAGAATTAGGAAATCACTAGCTACATGTATGGATGGGGGTGATAATCCCCAGCGGTTACGTCACCACAGATAAACGTGAGCTATAAAGCACCCAGACAGAAAGTCCTGGGTCTCCAATCATGGTCTCAAATCTCAGTCTAAACCTTTTCCACCACAATGTTTACTTTCACTCAGCATCTGAAACATAACAATTTGAAGCCAGTTCCTGTCCTGTAACCTAACACAATCTACCACAACCCCATTCTTAAAGCCGGAAAATGTTTTTTCCCCACCATGATCTCAGGAAGGCTTGAAACCCCATCGGACAAGCCAGGGCGCATGGCAAAAAAGCAAACCCCATTCTTAAAGCTGGAAAATGTTTTTTCCCCACCATGATCTCACGAAGGCTTGAAACCCCATTGGACAAGCCAGGGCGCATGGCAAAAAAGCAACAGCTCCACAGCAGCTGCTCTTGAATGGCACCAAAACGTGCAAAGGCCACTGGCTTTATTAGTCCTGCCCAGATCTCCTTGAGCTTTGCAAGTCCAACCAAAGCGGCACCTTCCCCGTAGTTTCTGGCCCGTGCTCGCCGGGGTTCTCGCACACAGACACTGGCTCTCAGGCTGCGAAACCACCAGGAGAAATTTTGTGTTTTCTAGACACAGTTATTGTGAGCTCCAGATGATGTTAGTCCTGGAAATGTAGAGCTACAGGAGAGGGATGAGCTGATCCTCCACTGTACGAGGTATTTATCACACAGCAGAGCACATAAAGTCCCCAGGGACTTTTCAGGGCGACAGAGGAACCCAAGAGCCCCGTGACACAGTGTCCTCTGCCCAAACCTGCACTCAAGACCCCCCTCAGCTCTGCCTGTGCCTTGCACACCCCCAGAGAGCAGCCAGGCTCTGGTAGGGCTGGGTGGAAGCTGGCACCAGCCCGTTAAACCTCTCCAGAGGCTGCAATGCAAAGCCTGGCCGTGCTGGGACAATCCCCTTCCTCCTGCCCCAGACAGGGAAATGCTCTTTTCCATACAATGGGACAAGAAAACCAGCAGGAAATCAAGAGCTAAGCATTAATATGAAATATGCCTGGCTCCCTGTCTGCAGGAGGGAGGGAGAAGAGGAAAAGTCCGGCGGCCTGGGAGTCAGTGCTGGGGCACAAAATCCTTTGGGGTGCAGCAGGGACAGTGGGAAGGTGGTTTGGGCGAGATGGAGGGACCCTTCCCATCTCAGGGCTGTGCCCAGGGCTGGTCACAAACCTGGAAATCATCTCTGCTGAGAGCTAAAGCCAAGGAAACACCTCGCTCTCGACCGCAGGCATCCCAGGTGGAAGATGGCCAACAGCAAATACAATTAGACCTCCCTCCCTGGAAACTGGGATAACACGAGGGCAGAGGCAGCAGGCTCCGGTCCCGCCTGCCCTCCCCTCCAGACACTCAGCTTCTGGCACCTTTCCTCCAGCTCAGTGTCAGAGAAGCCTCCCGTTGGGCTCCCGTTGGCCGTGGTCCCTTCTGCTCCGCCTGGATACAAACCCCGTGTCTCCCCGCTCCATCCCCCGGCAGCGGAGGGAGCGACCCCCATCCTGCCGAAGGATGGGCAGGTGCTTCGGCTGCGGTCACGGAGGATGCCGGCCACAAGCTGCACCTCCAAGGTCTTTTGGGTTTAATCAGGAGACAAGAGCAGCCTGGCAAGCCAGCCCAGGTGGGTGTTCAGCCCTGGTGCCCAGCAGCCCCAGGCTCCATCCCACATCATTTCACCGCCGAGGTGGACACAGTGGAAGCCACAGCTCCTGTTTTTCAGCCTCAGTTTCCCCCCACAGCACAGACACAAGGGGAGCTGACCCCCAGGACGGACAAGCATGGTTGGGCACGGCCGCGGAAGGAGCAGCGGCTCCTTCTGCCCAGGTGCTGCCTTCGGAAGATGTCAAGACATTTAAAAACGTTCACTTCTTCCCGCTCTCCCAAGCTACATTCCTGCCTGCAGTTGCAAACCCTCAGGCAGAGCCCTGGTGTCTCTTTGGTTTAAGTGTGTGTACAAGTATCTATATAAATATTACACATATAGACACAGGAGAAGGGAGATCAGCGAGCGCAGAGCTTGATTGTCCTCCCGCTGAAAAGACAGCGACCACCCAGCTAATTCTGTACGTGAACGACGGAGGCTGGTTAAACCCCAAGCCCTGCCGGGTTGCTGCGATGCTCCCCCCGCTCTGCCTAATCCTGTCCCGAAGGAATCTCCTCTCCCACCTGCCCCTCCTGAAAATCTACTTCGGAAATTATCTACTTGCCACTGAAGATGTGGAGCTGGGGACATGCTGTGCCCAGCGGCTTTTAAGCTCCTTTAGTTTCCA